TCAGTTGGTGCCCAAATCGAGTTTTCACTGGTGAAAGATAATTCAGTCTCTGTCCTCTAGAAGTTTATGGTCTAGATCAGCGGCTCTCAACCTGTAGCGGCTCTACCCCTTTGGGGGTTGAACGACCCTTTCACAGGGGTCGCCTGAGACATAACAGTAGCAAAATTATAGTTATGAAGTAGCAACAAAAATAATTTCCTGGTTGGGGGTCACCTCAACATGAGGAACTGTATTAAAGGGTTGGCATTAGGAAGGTTGAGAACCACTGGTCTAGATGAAAGGCTGGATATGTCTACATGAAGAGACAAATGGAAAACTGAGATCGTCTGTACTCATCAGTGTCTGATTAGCTGCACACGTGTTTCGAAGACATCGTGACTCCTGGGAACTGAGTTCTCTCTCCACTGAAGTCTTCTAAATGTTTCAGAGATGGGTGTGGCCATGGGTCCCGGTTGCCCATGGTAGCCCAAGTAAATGAGCAGGGAGAGAGGACAGGGAGAACAGGGACGTGAAAAGGAAGCAGTAGGAGGAAGATAGCCCTGGAGAGGAAGAGGTGATAGAAAGGAAGAAGACAGACAGGAGCCATCTGACAGGACGAAGTCCTCACGCTGCGAAGTCCTCCAGGAGCCCCGGGGAATCCAGCCCCGACCTTCACAGCTGTGAGTCTGGTGCTTCCCTGACTTGGTCCCGAGGTTTGTTCTCCCTTCTGCACTGTTTCCAACCTCAACACAGAAGAGTAGGAATGAGGATCTTAGTCTCTTCCAGGTTGGCTTCCAAAGTCCCCTGGTTCCTAAGGGCACTAAAGGGCCGGTTCACATGCTGGCCATTCGGTGCCTTCTCCGACGCCCAGCCACCCCAGGACCAGCAGGCACAGCGCTCCGGCCCCAGGTCCCGAAGGACTGTGTCCCCAGGACCGGAGGCACCTAGGCTTCAGCAGCAAAAGAACAGTCTGTGACAACGTTTTGCTGTCTTTACTCTCTTCATATTCACCCTTACTGGTTTCTCTTTTTAACTGAAGTTATCAGGGTAACAATTTCTATTGCAGTACAACACATATTTTGAAAGAATCAACTAAGCTGTTTCATTTACTTAAGTTTTTTTGGTTTGGAGGTTGTTGTTGTTTTTGTGTGTGTGTTTCTTCTAAAATTAATTCTCTAAGGGCGTTCACATCCCTGAGCTCAGAGTGAATACTCTTTCCCCGTGGAGTCAGCACAGATGGCCAGGTCGAGACTTTGCGACCAGCGGCACCTGCCCCTCCTCTGGGTTCTTGTCCAGACCCCTCCTTACTGACTCCCTGGTCCCTTTTCAGTTCTATCTTCGATCCTTAGCAAGTGGAGTATGACTCAGCTGTGTCTGTGGGGATCAGTGAGGGCCAGGGACAAGGTTCCCCAGGACCAGGGAGGCCAGAGGAGATGGAAGGGCCTTTGGACGGAGGGTCAGGAAACCTGGCTTCCTGTTCTCGGCATGTGCCTCCCTGGCCCGGGGCTCTTAGCAGTCTCCCCGTTTTTCAAGGTTAGTCAGATAACTGCCAAGATCCTTTTCTCTCCCTGGCCCACGGCTTGAAGAAGGGCCCTGTAACTCCTGCCTAGGCGATGACCGATGTCGCGACGTCGCGATGCCTAGGTGCTTCCCTGGGGATGAGGTCGCCCCTCGCGCGGCTGGATTCCAGCCTGCACCTTCCTCTCTTCACTCCGCACGCCCCCCCAGGGCTGCCTCGTCCACCCTCCCTGCCAGCTCAGCCCCCTCTGCATCTGCACGTCCAGAACGAATGTCTCTCCCCCTCTCTCCTCCAAGTCCCCGACTGCGGTGAGAGGCGTCACCACTCAGAGTCGCCAAGTGGGAAACCTCAGGGAGGGGACCGTGCACGGCTTTACTGCCTCTTTGTGCAAACCCTGCGTGCATCCAGACACCAGAGTACATCTTTTATGAATGACCTCTCAAGCCATCGACTTCTCCACCAGCCCACTGTCTCCACTGCCCACCCTGTCCACCCCGTCACACGGGCGTGTCTGCGGCAGCGCCACGGTGCAGCGCGTGTGGCCAGGTCATCTCGGTCTCCGCAGCATGGAAGCCAAGCATCCAACGGCCACACAGCCCTGGCATCTGGCTCCTGCCCATTTCCTCACGGCCTTCCGTCCAACCAAATCACATGTTTGCATTTCCTGAAGTTCTTCCTCCACAGGGAATACCCGACCCCGCAGCCCCGCCTCTTCACCTGGGCAGCTCTGCATCCTTCCAGCTCCATCCCGGAGCTCCTGACCTGTGGGAAGTCCACCCATAGGTGGGGCAGCTCTCAGCCACGGTCCCCACTGTGCTTGCGTCCGCAGCACCCCACTCCTACTCGTTGTCCTGGAATCATCTGTCTGTGGGTCCCTCATGGTGCCAAGACATCCACTGTGCGGCTGACCAAGGGTCAGTTTGGAGCCCATGCTCTCAGGCACGTGATCGTGTTTGGGAATGTTTGAGCAACTCACTGTCGTAAGGTGGTCCTGGGTCTCCACGTTGTGTGCCAGGGTGTGGGACAACGTCACATGGTGTAGGCTTTATTGGGAGAATTAAAGAGGCCCCAGGTCACCCTGGCCGGTTTGGCTTAGCGGTTGGAGCGTCGGCCTGTGAACCAGAGAGTCCCAGGTTCGGTTCCCGCTTGGAGCATATACAAAAAAAATAAAAAATAACAAATACAGAGGCCACAGGTCATATGAAAAGCCACAGAGCCCCGGCCCTAAGCCCCTCAGCTCACAAAGAGGTGCCAGCCAGGGCCAGGGAGCCACTGGGCCTGCAGTGCGGGGCTGCATCGCGGCCGAGGGACCAAGACCCCTTCTCCCCACGGCTTCTGTTTCTACAGGGAAATCGAGCCAGGCAAAGCAGCCTTGCGGACGAGGGAATAAATAGACTGCGTGGTGCCAGGCAGTCTGGGCGGGGGTGCCAGCTGTGTGCAGGAGCTGTCTGGGAACACTGGCTTCCCAGCGCCTCGGGCCCTCCGCGCATGTGGGGTAGCCCCCTTCTCCCTGCCCTGCGGACGAGGTTCTCTAGGCTGGGTGCTGCCTCTCTCAGAAAGCGTACACACCCCAGAGGGAGCTCCCAAGCCACTGGTTGTACCACACTGAGAATGAATGACTGCATGGATGGATGGATGGACGGATGGACGGACGGACGGACATGTGAAAGTAACTAGCACATGTATGAACACATGAAAGTGCCTGGCACCTGGAGGGAACCCAACTCGTGTGTTTCCCTTTCCTTGTCCTCCCTTCTCTTCCAGCTCCAACTCCGTGAATGTCCATGGAGGTTTCTGGGGTGCAGAGGAGGTGGTTCTAGCCCCTGTGGCCGTCTTGGGGTGGGATGGGGTGGTGTGGCTGTCTGACGGCTGCCCCGCCTTCCACACACTGTGATCTGGACCTGGTCACGGCCCCGGCTGGTGGTGCGCTAGTGGGTAGGAAGTAAAGGGCGGGTGGCTGCCCCCCTTCCGAGGACTGCCCGGTCTGGGCCTGCATCAGCACGGGGCCAGCGGTTCTCACGCGCCCCAGAGACACCTGGAAATGGTCTGCACTGCACATTTCCCGGCTCACGGCCAGGAGACCCACTTCATAGGCCTGGTTGGGCCCAGAACTCTGCCTTTCTAACCGCACCCCTGAACTGCTTCCCAGGGGCGGGGCCGGCGCTCACCGAATGTCTAGGGGATCCAGAAAGAATGAAGGGAGCGCAGGGACACGCACGGACTAACCTCTCCTGCAGAGCTACCGTCAGGCTCCCGCGCCCCATGCTTGGAGCTCCCTCCCAGCAGGCTGGGTGGAAGGAGGGGGGCCTTTCGGGGTGGTGCTCACTCTTTGCAATGTGGGTGCGACCTGCAAGTCTTCAGTGAGCTCCTCCTGACCTGGTAGAAGACGGGAAAATAGGTCTGAGCGTCCTGAGTTGAGTGCTTCCTGGAGGTTGTGGCCAAGCCTGTGCCGCTTGCAGGACCTGTGGCGGAATGCCACGTGAACTGGGGTTTTGTGGCTCCGGAGAGAGGTCGGCTGAGGTTCCTGCAGGGGCCAGCAACGGAGCACGAAGGCATCCAGGCAGTGGCCTGGCCTGTTGGGGTTGTTAGGCATCCACACCGGGGATTGGTGTGGGAGAAAGCAGTTAGTGGTGTGGGAAGCTGGTGAATCAGCGTAGAGACGGCTCACTCCAAACTGAGCCGAGTTTGTCCTGTTCGGTGTGGACCCTCAGGGTCCGGAGCCGCAGCCTTCAATGCAAAGCCCTTCTTCAAGGCGGCAGAGGGAAGAAAGGGCTGTGCCTCCTCTCCCCCCTGAGAAGAGATGAGCCCCTCCATTCCCCCTCCCCGCCCCAGTGCCTGTCTCCATCCTGGAGATGCTGGTTTTTACTGCCAACCTGCTGTATGTCTTTGGACAGCGTTTTATTTTTCTCAAGAGAGAGAGTTCAATTTTTGGACGCGTGTATGTGAGCAGTTTTGCCTGTTTCAGCTGCTGCTGGGAGATCGACGGTGTCTCAGATGCTCCGCAGCTGTTTTGCTCTGTGCGGGAGAACTCAGCTCGCAGGCCCCTGGATTGTTATCTTCAGGGTTTGTAGCTTGAGCTCGGGGCACACTGCTCCTGTGTCCTGTCTCCCCTTCCCCAGCGCCCTTCTCCTCTGGTCAGGCACCCCCTTTACACGGACCTATGGGTTCTTGTCTGAGACGGTTCAATGACATGTTCACTGATTAACTAAGATGTTTCCCAAAAAATGTGTAATTTTTTGACTAACCTAATATTTGCACTTTAACAGAGGACATTTGAAGACTTAAAGAAAACACACCTTAATGCCCAGTGCATCGGGGTTTTAATAGCGGAACAGACGGTGGCATTACTGAGGCGTTGGGGGCGCCCCGCCCACCCAGCGTCTCCGTCTTTGCTCCGGGGGAGGGGCAGCATCTCCTCCGCCTGTCCTGAGGGCTGCTGGGCCGGACTTCATAAATCACCGTTCTGACAATCTCCTTTTTCTCTCCTATTTTTGTTTCCTAGGAACGAGTGGAATATCTCTTTCTCATCATTTTTACTGTGGAAGCATTTTTAAAAGTAATAGCCTATGGACTTCTCTTTCACCCCAACGCTTACCTCCGCAACGGTTGGAATTTACTAGATTTTATAATTGTGGTTGTAGGGTAAGTACAGCTACTTTCTCTATTCCCTCCCCTCGCCCCTGCCACCAACCAGCACATAGTTCTTATTCCATCAGTATTTATATCTCCTTTCGATTTGGTCACAGTGGCCCTGGGCGCAGGCAGGATGAGAGGATCCATTACATAGAATTCAGACTGTCCCCAAAGGCAGAGGAGCTATATCATCTAGGAATCTCCCCACCACTGCTCCCAACATGCACACATGTGCACACGCACGCACACACGCATGCACTCCCACGCACACGTGCACACACATGAGTTGAATCTGAGTATTTTTGATGGAAACTGGGGTCCTTCATGCAACTGAGGAGCGTGCTCTGCCTAAGGTGTTTCATTCCATCTCCAGCGACATCTGGCCTGGCAGCCCCTCTGACCGATGTCCCTGCAGTGTCACTGAGCCTGTTTGGTTCAGCCTGCCTGTGAGTATGCAGTCTCTGGCCATGGGTTGGGGCTGGCACACCAGAGCTGTGGGTGCCCATCTCACCTCGGCAGTGGGCCTTGTTCTATGGCCAAGGGTACCAGGCTGCTGAAGACACGTGGGTGAGAAGGAAACGGAGCTATGAAGGACCCAGGTGATGAGTGACCAAGCCCAGTCAAACACAGCTTCCCCCACACACTCTGCTGCAATTCAGCATCAGAGGAGGCAAACTCAATCTATGCTTTAAAAAAAAAAAACAATGGAAGGAATCTAAGTAAAATGTAGAGGTGGTCGCCTTATCAAGGAGGGGCAACTTCACGGGAAGATTCCCTAGGACATGTTTGTACCTGGCGAGCCTCCACCTGCTGTGTGAGCTGGGACCGATCAGCACAGGGATGACGTTCCCATGACTCATCTGTCTGGTGGAGGGAGGGCCCCTTGCAACGAGATTTCGTTTAGAGGACAAGTGGCTTCTTTGAGCCCGGGGAGCAGTCACCTGGCCACCTTGTGTTCCATCTGCCTTGGGGTCCTGACAAGCTTCACTGTCAAGGTCAATACGTCATTCGGCCCTTATCTCAAGAAACCGTTTTCATGCACCCTCGAGTGCTGTCCCAGCGAAGACCCAGGCCCCTGAGGCTTCTCCAGAGCCCCCCCCCCCCCCCCCCCCCCCCCCGCGAGCTCATGGGAGTGTCTGGTCTTTCCTGCAGGGAATGACAGGAGCAAACGGAGGTCAATTCGAAGTTGTGTCCTTGTCTCTGGCCATCTGGATGGCTTCTTAGGAACTATCGTAGGGTTTTTCTTTGTTGTCCTTTTCTGCCCGACCGAGGAGTGGCACACTCTGGCCGCATTAACATCGGGGACATTTGGGTGGTTTGAGGAGCACTAAAATGAGAGTGTTTGCCAGGGATACGTCTGGCTCCGAGGGCTGGGCATGCCCTGCTGATGCCGGAATGCGCAGAGAGTCGCTCTGCAAACGCCTTGACTTAACTCGGGAAAACACAGCCAGGCCTTTGAGGTGGTTGTTCCAAATGCCCCTGCATCCTTTCTAAACTCAGCATCCTGTCAAGGCTCCAGGCTCCTGGGAACCCTGCTCACTGTGTGGAAAGATCTCCAGGCGGAAAGCCGGTGTTTCTGGGAGCCACCGAGATGGGGTGTCTTGCTGGCACTAATTGTGTTTAGGCAAAAATGCTACAGCCCCTTGTGTTTACAGACGAGTCAGAGGGTCCCCCCTTCATGGCCTGCAGTACAGCTCAGGAGGCAGCCAACGGGGCCCCGGGAGGGGAGCAGGTGCCCGCCCTGCGCTGCGCACTGGGAAGCCCTGCTCACCTCCCGCTCGTTCGGACCTCCCTGCACTCGGCCTGCTGCTCCTCCCCACGCACAGAGGGAAGACTTTCCGCGGATCATCCGGGTTCTGCTCACATCTCCCTGAGGTCTAGGCTGTGAGGCTGATGAAGTAAGGGAGGCCCCCAGGGGCGGCATTCTTCCAGAAGGTGTGTCCAGTTGGCCCTTTAAGCCACATGGGTTCTGATGTGAGCATTGTCCACCCTGAGGTTCACCACGACCCCTGGAGTCCTTCCCCGTCAACCTCACACTCAGCCGTATCTGGTGCCTCATTTCTCTTCTCCGTGGGTATTGGTCCTGGAGGCCTGCCACTCAGTCTAAATCCCAGCCCCTCCTACTAACTCAAAAAGCGGCACACTTCCCCCATGGAAGGTGCAGCGCAACCACCTCCCTCCACCTCGCCTCCTTTCCCGCTGCCTGTGCAGTATGAGTGGATGTCCCTGCTCCCCTTGCATCCCCTGGGAAACATCTGCTCTGCTCCACACCCCCGCAGCTGTTTAGGGGAAGGTGTGTCCTGGCCTCCTGCACTTCGGGGGAGCCTGCCAGGCCCGGAGAGGTGGGCGCACCTGCCTGCCTCCCCAGTGCTGGCCAGAGAGCTGCGTCTCCCCTCTGCATTGCCTGCTGGTGGCCTGTGACAAGAGGCACCCCCCTACACACATGCGCACACACACACACGACTTGTCACATCTCCTTCCTAAAGTAGAGTAATCTCCTTGGTACGATGGGAGATGGTACGGCTGAGTGAACGTAGAGAGGACTTAGGGGACTCTGGGAGCTCCCCCGCCCCCACCCCAGAACCAGGGTGTCCTCAGCAGCTCCGCCTGCACAAGAGACTCTGCTGTGGTGACAAAGGCTTTTGCCACGTCTCTGTCTCCCTCCCAAACTGTCAGCCCTTCCTCCCTGGGCCCTCTAGAGCCTCATTGCCCTGTTCTTTCCAAAGCTCTAACTCCAGCCAAGGAGCTGCCAGCCCACCCCCTGCAGAAATCCCTCCCCAGGCATCCACAGTGAACCTGGCCCTCCAGGGCAGGTGGGCACGGAGCAGGGGCTTCACCCTCACAGGTCTAACCGGGAGGACACGGCAGTCCCCGCAGGCCAAGCAAACACCCCCTAGACCCGTTCCTGCACTTTCTACCCTGCAAGACGTACAGCAACCGCTTAATGAAGAGTCTGCATCGATGTGGGGCAGGGGTTAGAGAGAGGAAAGTTGTCTACTCTCCCTTCGCCGAATGATCTTTTATGAACATCTTCTGTTCCGATAAGCATATTCTTTCTTCCAGGAAATGTTAGCCACCAAATCTGGTTTGCATTTGGAATGTTATTTGACCAACTTGCAAACTGGTCTCCATTTCAGTGGACTAGACTTCAGTGGAGAGAACGTTTCTCTGGGGAAAGGCGCCTGCTCCCCCTCCTGGCACCTCTGCCTGGGATTCCGGGCCTCACCAGCCGGCACACGAAACCCTCCCACTGCCGAGCTGAGCTGAAAGAATCAGGGAGCAGAGAGAGACCTCAGATGGGGTCTGGCCAGGGTCATCAAACTCCTTTTAGCTGCAGAACCCTTGTTCAAACAAAGCCTTACTCCGAGGCCCCGTGCAAAAATCTGATCAAGGTAGATCACTCTGTTAAATGTGGGGAAAGGAGCCAGGTCCCCAGTCTAGCCTCGATGCCCGAGACGTCCCCGAGGGGTGCCAGGAGCACCGTTTGAACATCCTGAATCTACACCCACTTCTCATTGCTGCCCTGGCTGGGTCCAGGCTTCTGCAAAGCTGAGCCTGCGGCTGCAGCCCCCCTTCCCGAGACCCAGTGCCATGGGGCACGAGTTGTTGAAGGCTCAAGGCTAGTCCTCAAAATGAACTTGCCCTGGCCCCGAGTTTAGGTCTGATGAGGGGACCCAGTTCTGGTACCCGGACTTCCTTCTTGATCCCAAGCCATGACCCAGCACACGCTCAACCAACAGTGATCAGCGGAGTCATCTCAAGGTGCAAAGGACAGAAATTGCCTGTGGACCCTTCTCCCTATTTTTCTTGGTTGCCGCAAAGAGTCTAAGACCGTAGACTCCCATCCCCTGTGGGCTACCCGTCCTCTGATCTGCACCCTCGTCCCTCCCCACCCCACCCCGAGTGCTGCCCACTGCGCCCTGTTCCCACAGTCCATCCCCCACTCAGGGCAGTAGACATTTTCTGTAAAGGGCCAGGTACCCCTTTTCAGCGTTGAGAACCGTGCGGTCTCTGTCCCGACTGTTCAGCTCTGTAGGGAGAACACAGCAGTTACGGAAGGGCTGGGTGTGGTTGAGTGGCAGCCAGACTTCATTAGTGAGCTCGTCCTCATCCCTCCTTCCACTTTCTGGCTCTCACCGGGGTCCTGCTTCTGTCACAGTCTCCGGAGATGCAGTGTCTCCCAGCGGCCTCAGTCCACAGCCTGCAGGTCAAGGGAGCAGCCCTGCTCTCCCCTCATTTCAGCTCTCAGACCGCTGTTCCTCCCACTGAAAACCTCCAGTGTTGACGTTTGTGTCATCGGACACTCCTGTGCCCACCTCTCCTTATTGTGGTCCTGCAGACCTTCAAGGACGGGAGCTCTGGGCTCACTCCATCCCTCTCCACACCCACTGGTCCTGCCACCACCCCCCAGCAGCCTCTTGGTCTTTGACAGCTTCATCCCCAGGGACTGACTCCATTCAGCCTCAGCTGCCCACTCCCGTGGTCCTAGCCGATATCCCTGCCACACCCACAACGGCAGCCTCCCTGCAGTCTCAGACCAAACCTCCTACTCTCTGAGCAATGCCCCCACCTTTCCAGCTCCCCCTCTAGCACTGAACCCCCACAGCCCACTCATCCTCTCCTTTCCGCCTGCCCCCCCATCACGGGCACGCCTCCTTCCAACGCCCCGATGCCGCGTTTCATCCTCCTCCTCCTTCCCTTCCGTGTGCACTCAGGTTCCTTTCCTCCTTCATGTGTCTTGCTCACCGGCCCTAACCAACTCCAACTAGACGGGGACCTGCCTGGTGCCCGAAGCTGAGCCGACGCTCGGGGCCACCGACCTCGAACAGGCCGGCGGTGACTCCTGGCCTTCCGTACATGTTCCTACCCACGCTCCCCCTCTCTCTGTGATTCCTTCATTCCCTTGCCTTGCTCTTCAGACTTCCAGCACCTCCCCCCTTTCACATGTTCAGCCGTTGACCTTGCTACCTGTTTCCCTGGGCAAGCAGATGCAATCAGAAGAGAATGTCCATGGTTCCTACAACTACACCCGTGCCCGTGAGGTGCCTCCCCACCTGACCCCTGTAAATCTCCTGCCTCCACAGGGGGCCAGCACCCCTCACTGTGCAGGGGGTCCCCATCCTGCCTGCTGAAGGACGTCAGTGCTTCCAGGAACCGTCCCCTCTGTGTCTGTCTCTGTGCAGTGAGCCCCCTCGCATGTGGCAATGCTGTCGTACCTCCATTTCAAAACAGACAGACTAAACCCTTGATTCCGTACCTGCTCTGGTGACCGTCATTTCCCCATACTCCTTCTTATAGCAAAATCCCTCCAAGGAGTTGTCTGCACAGTAGCCACCAGGCGGCCATTCCGCAGCTGGAGTGTGGCTGATCTGAACTGAGGTACGCGGTACACGCAGAACAGCCCAGGCGATTCCAGAGATTCAGAGCAAAAGACAGAGTGACGCGGATCTCAGAACAAATTCTTTCTTTATATTTATTATAGTTGAAAGGATATGTTGGTTGTGTTGGGTTATATAAAATATACTATCAAAGTTCATTCCACCTGTGTCTTCTTTACTTCTTCAGTGTGGCTACTAGAAAATTTAAATCACACACGCAGCTCCCGTTTGTGGCTCGTGTTGTATTCCCTTGGACAGAGCTGCCTGGTCTCCCTGTCTCTAGTTTCTCCTCCTGGTCTCATAGCTGTTAGACTTTTGTCCCCATCACTCCATCGACACCTGTTTTCACGGTCGCAATGGTCTTCATGTTACTAAATTCAGTGGCCAGTGGTCCACCCTTGTACCTGCATAGTTAACCACTGTCGCCTCGCTGCCCCTTCCTCCACAGCCCACCGCTCCGGCCACCTGTCTCTGTTATTGGCGTCTCCTCTTGACCCTCCGTGTCGGAGCCCCAGGGCTCGGCCCTTCACACCGTCACGTTCCACACTAGCCTCCTAGGCGACCTTGTAGGATTTGACTTTAATGCAGGTTTTTGTCGCCAGCCTGGATTCCCTACCCCCCAGAAGTCCAGACCCAATAGAACCTAATCAAGACATCTATTCAGATGTCCAGCTGACAGCTCAAGTGCACGGAGTTCAAAGCAGAACCCTAGCTTGCACCCCACCCCTCACCCTCCGGACGCTCCAGCCAGAGTTGCCCGAACAGGCTCCATCCTCTGTCTTCTCACTCTTCACGCCCACGTCATCCGCCCAGCCCGTTGCACGTGTCCTAATACACGGCTGGAGTCCGACTGTCTCTCACCACCAGCCACCTGCACCGGCACCGCCTGGCCCACGTTCCCCTCGGGTCAGGACAGCAGCCCGCCCGCCTCGCCCTGGTGCAGGCTCTTTTCCCACAGCGTCAGGGGGACTCTTTTAAAATCTTCGTCCAATCATGTCACTCTCCTGTCAAAACCCCCCGCGCCTTCCAACTCGGAGGGAAAACCGGTAGGGCCCCTGCTTCCTCTCCAACCTCATCTCCCACGGTTCTCTGTTTCCCTGATTCCTACCAGCTACCCGCCCCTGTGGTCCCGCTGACCTACTGCCTTGCTGCTCCCTCGGGCCCTGGGCACCGACCGCTCCCTCTGCCTGGAACAGTCCCACATAGCTGTGTCCACTCCCGCCCTGTCTTCAGGTCTCTGCTCGAAGGTCAGCCCAGGAGCGAATTCCTTTCCCGCCCTCTGATCCCAAACAGGAAGGCCTCCCACACTGGCCACTCGTGTCCTCGTGCCAGCTGCGTCTGTCTCCTTAGCCTTCACCGCTCCCCGAGTGCTGTACATTTGCTGATTATTTGGGTGATCGTCTGACCCCTTCACTAGAATGCAAGCTCCGAGAGAGGACGGCCTGTCACCTTGTGGAGGCCTTGGTGTCTAGACATTGCTGCGTGCGTAGCAGGTGTCTGTGTCCGCTGGGGGGAGGGATACCCCAGCAGAGACAGAGTGGCCGAGCCGAGATTTCCACCTCCCGGTTCCCCACCTTGAGGTGTGGCTTTGCTCCCCCTGGAAACGTGCTCACTGAACCCTTTGATCACTCTCGTTGGTTCGGCGCATTCCTTTGAGAGTCTGCTCTGTGCCAGCAGCACAGAGGAGATTTCTCTGGGATCATTCATTTGTGCCCAGGTATAAATCAAAGAGACGGGGCAAGGAAGAATGTGGTTCCGGGTCACAAGAGGGCAGGCTGCCACGGAGCGGGCAGAGGGCACTGCAAAGGGATGGGCCCTGGCAGCACACCTGGCTTGCTTTCCGCTCTGTCCAGGGCAGCCCAGCTGCACGGAGCCAGGTGTGTGCTCACAGCTCTGTGATGCCGGTGGCCTCGCCCAGACCTCTCCGGGCGGCGGTTGTGCCCTTGGTTGGGTGATACTCACACGGACAGCTTCCGATGGTCACAGACGCTCCTGGGATGGAGGCGGTCACAGACTGCCACCCCAGGCTTCTTCAGAGAACGCAGAGCCCAGCAGGGCAAAGAAACCCTGTCCTGACAGCTCCTTCTCTCCTTCCTCTCTTCCAGGCTTTTTAGTGCAATTTTAGAACAAGCGACCAAAGCTGACGGGGCGAATGCTCTCGGAGGGAAGGGGGCCGGCTTCGACGTGAAGGCGCTCAGGGCGTTCCGCGTGCTGCGCCCCCTGCGGCTGGTGTCTGGAGTCCCGAGTAAGTAAGCCCCTGTCCCTGTGTGGGCACCACCTCCACTCCCCCTCAGCCCGTTGCTGGGAGCACTTTGCAAAGGAACCTGATTTCATAATAAATGAGGTTTTTCCTAAATGAGTTCCTTTGCTTTAAAAAAAAACCCCAGCTCTGATGTAAGTCCATTAAAACTCACTGAACCCCAGCTCCTGGAAAAACCGACAGCACTCGCATGGCCAAATGAAGACAGCCTGCTCAGAGGAGACGACCCTGTGGCCATCTGAGCAGTCCCCGCAGGCTCTGGGCTGGGACTCGAAGTCCATTTGCAGCCAAAGAGCCAGGTGAGCAGAGACAGCTAATCCCCAAGGCTCACAGGGCCTTTTAGCCAATGGGATTATCTCTGTTCTCTGTATTTTTCCAAAGAACAATGAGAAAAGCCCCAGTGGATGTTCTAAAAGCTTTATTTCGCCGGTTCTTCCAGCCTCTTCCTCCTTTCATGTCAAACGGGGCCTCTGTGGCCTCAGAACCCCTGCTATGGACACCGCCTGCTATCATGAGGACGGGTTCCGCCAAGGGGTGGAGAGTGTTCAGTAATCTCAAGCAAGCAGACAGACACTAGAGAGGACTTGCCCAGCAGGACACCAGTCACGCGGACAGCCCCCTCCTACTGGGCTTCCAGAAGCCTGTCCCATTCTGGATGAGGCCCAGGTGCTGAACAAGCAGCCCCAGGGGACAAAATCAGCGTTGGGAGAGCTTAGCTGCGTCTTGCTCCATTTGCAGTAGCTGAGCGTAGTTCTGGATTAGTTTGCAAAGAGTTTACACCCTCAGGTCAGCTCCATCAGATCTGGCCCAAGACTTCAGGCAGAGGAGACCCCTATGGCCAGGCTGGAAGTAAACTACTTTGAGGATGGGACCAGGGTCAGGAAAATAAAGAGGTCCTCTGAGTACTAGCCTTTACCACCGACACCAGGGACAGAGTACTTGGTGACATGATGCTGCTTGGTGATATTTCTTAGAGTCACAGAGCCATAGAAATGCAAAGGACCGTATCTTAACCTGTCCAGCCCTTGTACATTCAGAGAATAGTCAACAGGTCTCCTCTAAGTAACTTAACCAGCAGCCGAGCAGGGCTGGAACTTTCAAACCAACTCTTTCCTACAATAACCCATGGCCCCTTGTAAAGAATTAACTCGATTGTCTTAGACTTTCACACACTTATCCTGCCTCTTCTGTTACGTTATAACCCCTTGAAGCCCAGAACTGTGCCTTATATAGTCTCTGACTCCTGCCCAATGCCTTGGTGGTCCCTGAGCGCGGTGGGGGAGTTCACTGGGGAAATGAAGCCAGAGCTGGACTGCTTTCTTGCAGTGAGGCGCCCTGGACAAGGCTGGCAGCCTGTCTTAAACTGGACGCAGAGTAAGTCACTCAAACTCATGTAGAGCAGATTCTCTCTGCCTCACCTTAACCATCTGGGGCACCGAGAAACAGAAACAGTATATGTGATGACCGAGACCCAGGTCCCCTCTTGTGAAGCCTAAATTATTTGGGTTTTCTTGGTCAGCAGTCATAACTCAGCAGAAGAAATTCAAGGGTGAGAATGACATCGAACGTGACTCGAAGGAGCTTATCATGATGGTGCAGCCAGGTGACAGGAAGCAGAATAGATTCCAAGCTGTAGCTGACCAAGCTTCAACGGATGGAGTGACTCTTACCCTGTTGTGAATGTGCTTGTTAGGGGCCCACAACCTCAGAACACGGTGCATGAGGACATAGAAAGAATAAATATGGTCCTTTCACTTGGGGACTAGGACAATCAGCTTTGGCCCCAGGAACAGACAGTCCCGAACTCAGGTGATTGCAAACCGGAAGCACGTGTACCTGGCTTGAGGCTCCGGGGATGCGGGCCAGCGGCAGCCGGTCTGGGCTCACCCAGGTTCTGCCCAGGCTGGAGGAGCACCAGCATGCCGGCCGTGTGGCTCTCGTGGCAGAGGGCGGTAGATGCTCACAGAGGGGGCAGAGCGCTCAGCCACCCAGACATGTGTTGTTTTTGTTCAAATATGGCTTATATCACGGCTGCTCACATTCCAGTAGCCAAAGCAAGTCGCGTGGCTATCTTTGTCCCGAAGATAATGGGACAAAGAAATGGGCCATACTTACAGAGAAGGATGGGCGAGTGATTGTGAACAAATAGTGCAACGTGTCGTAAAGGGATTGAGATCGTGAACAGAAATGGTGACCGTGATTACTCCAGGACGGAGATTCTTAATCAGAGATGCGTGTGCCTGAGACCCACTCATGCTTCCGTGCACGAACAGGGAGAATTTGATGGAGTAGCTGGGGCTCCGCTGTCGAAGGAAGTTCGTAAAGAGGGTGTCTGGTCTCCGTGTGCATTTAAATAATGGTGGGACTGTGTGGCGGTGGTCAGGGAGAGGTGAGGCTTTTGGAATTCTCTCATCGGGAAGATGAAGACATGAGAAAGCCCCTCAGACATGAGGCCCTGATGGGACCTGCCATGCAGCTCAGGAAGCTGTTTTTTGTCATTCAAGATGATGACACTGAGATGCTTTGAAGTGTGGACAGCCTTGCAAGGTGACTCCATGCTTGGGCTCAGGGCTAACAACTGTCTTGTGTTCTGTGGGTCACCAATATAAAGAGAAGAGCTCTTTTTGGAGCTTAAAGAAAGGGCTAATCCTGCCTTGCGCCCTTTTCTCAATAGAATCGTGTCTGTGTGACTTTCGGAGACAGTAGCGTGTGAACAGCCAGGTGAAGGTGTGTGTTGTACTGGTTGGGTTGATATCATCTAGGAAAGTGTCAGCCATCTCTCTCGTCCTACAGACCTAGACAGATGCCTCCTCCCGTTTCTCATAACTTAGGGTTGTCTTCTTTTATAGTTCAGCAAAACTCTTCAAAAACAAAGTTGCCTTTACCTATTATCTCCAATTCTTACCTTCCCGTTCTCTCTTTCTCCCTCACCCCTGCACCAGACGTCTCTTGGGGAGACACGTGGTTTCCATGTTGCAGAGTGTAGGGGTCATTCTTGGGTGCCGTTTTGCTTGATCTGTCTGCAGCATGGGGCCTTCTTATCTTCGATCGCTAGGCTTTTGGAATCCTGTTCTTTCTTGGTTCTCCCCCTACTTCAGTTGTCTTTCCTTCTCGGAAGTATTGCCGATTCCCCCTCACGTCATCCTCTTCACATTGCGGAGCTCCAGAGCTCAGCCCTCAGACCCTTCTTCATCTGCACGCAGGCCCTAGTTAGCATGTCTAGGCTCATGGCATTAGATATTGTGTCTTTGTCTTCTAACAGCCACCAGCGGTATGTCACCAGCTCAGACCGCTCCTCTGAACTTGGCCTGTGCACCTTCCTGCCTTCTCCATTCCTTCAGTCATATCGCATCAGCATCTTGCATTTCATGACATTCATAACAGACCTCCCCATCTTCCCAAAGTCCTTCCCATCCTGACAAATGTAAATGTCAACCTCATCCTTACAGCGACGTAAGCCAAAAATCTTTGACATCTCTATTTCTTTCACCCTTTGTATCCCGTCCATGAGAAAGTCCTATCAGCCGTACCTTCAGGATATATCAAGGATCGGGTGGTTTTCGCCACCACCATCTCTCACCTGGATTGTCATGGCAGCACATGGCCCTCTTAGAATACAAATCCCCTTAACATACATGTCTCTGCTCTTCTTAGAACCTTCCGAGGCTTCCTGAGTGAGACCCAATGTCCCTCAAGGCCCTGTGTGACCTGCCCCCTCTCCCCACGACCTCATCTCCTTCTATCCTTCCCTCCTCTGCCTCCTTGCCCACCTCAATGACCTCTTGCTGGGCCTCCCACGTTCCGAACTCCCTACACTGCAGGGCCTTTGCACCTGCTGCTGCTGCTTCGGGGCACCTCACTTAGCTGTCCACGTCTGGCCTGCTCACCTCCTCCATCTCTCTGAAATGTCGTCTTATCAGAGAGGCCTTCCCTTACCACCCATGTCGGCCTCCTCACGCCTCCTGCGCGTCCCCTGATTTATTTTCCCCGCATCACTTTTCACCACCTGTCGTGCTGTGTGTTTACTGGGTTATTTATTGCCCCTCGCCTCACTAGACTTTAACCTCCATGAGGACAGTTTTCACCTGTTTTGTTCACTGCTATATCCTCTTTGTAGACTGAATGGGTACCGTGACACGGTGCCCCATGTGAGTGGCATTGCTACACATAGTGATTACTAAGAACTAACAGGCCACTAGGAATGACACTGATGCTGCCCTTGCCGGTTTGGCTCAGTGGTTAGAGCGTCTGCCCGTGGACCAAAGAGTCAAGGGTTCTATTCCAGTCAAGGGCACGTACCTCGGACGCGGTTCGTCCTCGCCCCTGGTCAGGGTCATGCAAGAGTCAGCCAGTCAATGTGTCCCTCTCACATAGTTGTCTCTCTTTTTCTCTCTCCCTCCCTCCCTCCCTTCCTTCCTCCCTCCCTCGCTCCCTCCCTCTCTCTCTATCTGAAGATAAATGGAAAAATATCCTCGGGTGAGGATTTAAAAAAAAAAAATGATGCTGATGCTAAAAGACTTTCCATTTATTTATATGTGCCTTTTTTTCACTTTTCCAAGCGATTTTTCTTCTTCTGTGTTATTTAGTCTTCATGACAACTGTGTGATATGTTTATATACACATAGGAGATATGTAGATATTGAAGTGGTTATGTTATGTCTAGCAAATAGGTTAATTAAGTGGTTTGAGGGATCTGTAGCACTAAGCCCACAATGTTGCCATTAGTGTTTAAATGTCCATACGTGTATCAAATACCACTGGAACCCCACCATCATGGATTATGGAAGGGGAGAGGAGGCTGTGAGGGTACAGGTTCATGAGTCACTCATTAATTTGTTCAACTAACTTATGGATGCCGAATTTATGTCAGAGTCTGTGGCTCTTGCAGCAGATACAGAAATCAGAGTGATGCTGAGTGTGTTCTCAAAAGTGTCCATAGAATCGATGGCATAGAACAAAAACTGGAGAGCTCCCTCCCACCCCCA